CTCGCCGCAGCCTCCCACGCCGCCGCTTGCCGTCGCTGGCGGTAGCGCGCCGCCGCCGCTCGCCATGGCCGGCCGGCCGGCTTTGTGCCGAGCCGAGCCGTGCCTAGCCGCCGCTGCGCCGTCCGATCGGCCCTCGGGCCGATCCGGACCGTTGGTCACGTGGACCGGCGGTGGAGTCGCCCCGCTGCTGAAGTCAAGCTTCCCGGTTTAGCTCGCTTTTATCTTTTCCGCTGCATTTGTAATCTTTTCTATTTTTGTAAGACGTGGATCTGTATGTCAACAATTGTCGTTTGTGTACCCTGGCTGGTCCTGGACAGGGATTTAATGCACATTTAGCTTAGAAATTCCGGTTCGAGAATTTCTGGGCGTGATATCGGACCAACTCGACTACGGTCTCGTCGGTATCATCGATTTCTGCTATTCCCTTTGTAATTTGTGGTTTCCATCATATAATTCTATGCCAACTGGATTAGGGCTATTACCTACCAAGGGACCTGAACCAGTATAATCCTTATATTTTGTTTGCTTGATGTCATACTATGTTGATCCTCGTACCAACGGACCCCAATACCCTCTATATCCGGTCTACGGGTATCCACCATCGACAATAACATATTTCATACACCCTCCGTTTCATAACGTAAGACTTTCTAGCATTTCATATTTATATAGATGTGAGCAATACTAGAAAGACTAGAAAGACTTACATTGTGAAACGGAGGAAGTAGAAAATATATTACTCCCTCCGTTTTAGGCTATAAGACGTGTTGACTTTGGTCAAAGTTTTGACCAAGTTTTTAGAAAAAAAATATTAACATTTTCAACCCAAGACAAATTTATTATGAAAATATATTCAATTATTGATTTGATGAAACTAATTTAGTATTATAAATATTAGTATTAGTATATTTGTCTATAAATTTAGTCAAACTTAAAACAGTTTGAATTTGACCAAAGTGAAAACGTCTTATAAACGAGGGAGTAGTATTTATTTCAGGCAATATTATAATATATTTACTTCTATCCGTGGTAACTAAAGCACAGTCATTTAGTTGTTCCAAATTTCCACTTTGCGATTAGAGTGAGAATAAAAAGGGAAAAATTACAGATCTTACGAAGAGTCAAGAATTGCTCTGAAAATTTGCAAATTTTGAAAATTTTCAATAGGGAAATTTCGTATTATGACCATAGACCGTCGGTTTATCCTCCCTTCCACTACTGCAGAAACCGTTTTTGCAAATGGCTAAAACATATCTTTGCATGTGGTTGTGCCAACCGCATGCGCCAAAAGGTCTGTGAAATTTGGAAAATCTCATTTTCTCATGCGGTCTCTTATACTTGTCGCATGTGAAAATAAATTCAGTGAAAAAAAAATAAAATCCAAAACCCCCCAAACCCTAGCCCGCTACCCCGGAGCACCGTATCCCTGCCGCCCGCCATCCTCACCGGCGCCGGATCAGCCACCCCACTGCCCACCGTTGTCGTAGGCGCCGCTTCCACCGGCCCCATTGCCCTCAGTCCTCGCCGATGTCGAATCGGCCGCCCCACCTCCCGACATCGTCGCTGACGCTGCCCTGACCGTCCACCGTCGTTGTCGGGGCCGGATCCGCGCGAGGCAGGGCCCTCGATGCCGTAACCGCGCAGGGCGGCGCTGCCCGAGGCGGCCAAGCCGCCCCCGCCGCACCCAGCCACTGGTCCTCGCCCACCCACTTGGAGGAGAAGAAGAGTGGAGAGGAGAGAAAGAGAGTGAGGAGGGGAGAGGAGAGAGACATGTGAAAATATCAGGAGAGGGGAGAGAGATGAGGAGATTAAAAAAATTGAAGTGCTGAGGAGGGAAAAAATTGTAATAAAAAGAGAGATTTTTACATGAGTACGACTTAAGAGTCCGCGTGCGAAAATATAATTTTTGGCATGTGGCTCTTTAAGAGGACCGCATACGAAAATAGCCATTAAAATTAATTTGAAAATGTGAAAACTTCAAATTGAATTTTGTGATACTAAATAAACTCATGTGAAAAAGTTGTCAAAAATAAAGTTGTAGAAGTCATTGAGATCTACCAATTTCCTTTTGGTCATTTGTCCATCCGAGTTTGATTGAACTGTATATAAAATTTGAATTTTAAAATATAAGAAATTCAAATAGTTTTGGGGTAGTAAATGATTTCAAATGGAAAAATTGTCAACTACAAAGTTGTATAATGCACCAAGGTCTCCAACTTTTGTTTTGGTCATTTTTTTTATATTACTTTGTTTGAACAGTTTGAATTTGAATATCAAAATATAACAACTTCAAATAATATTTTTAAATACTAAATGATTTCAACTGAAAAAGTCATCCACAACAAATTTGTATAACTCATCAGGATCTATAACTTTTATTTTGGTCATTTCTTCATCCGATAAAGTGATAGTAATATTGTTTATGGATTTTACATATCTCTCATATGGTTTTATAAACTATAGGAGAGATATGTAAATTTTGTGAACAATGTTATTATCACTTTATCGGATGAAGAAATAATCAAAATAAAAGTTTTATATCTTGATGAGTTCTACAACTTTTATGTTTCATGACTTTTTCAGCTGAAATTATTTACCGCTTCAAAATATTATTTCAAGTTGTCATTTTTTGAAATTCAAATTTTTAAATGATAAAACAAAGTCACAAGAAAAAATGGTCAAAATAATAGCAATAAAAAACACAATGACATGATAGAGCATAATTTTAGAAATATTTAGAAAAAAGAATCATTCAATTTGGAGTTCATACGAGTGAGATAAACTAGTTTTAAATTTTTCAAATTTTATTTTCGCATACGGCTGCTTAAGACGGCTATATGGAAAAATCGATTTTCACATGCAGGCTCTTAAGTGGTCTGCATACAAAAATAAGCTCATTTTTACATGCGGACATCTTAAGAGGCCCGTATGGGAAAATCGATTTTTCTATACGGGTGTCTTAAAAAGCCGTATACGAAAATGCCGCTCGATTTTTCTAGACGCGGCAAGTTATGATCCGTTTGCAAAAATAATGGGGTCTACACAAAAATTTCTATAGTAGTGTTCTGTCCAGCTATAAGAGATTGCACGCTATTTCTTTTGCTGATCTATTGCACGGTATCTTCTATCGTATTTAATTCCGGTCCTTGAATTGCTCCCTCTACCGATCGCTCCCTCTACCGATCGCGGATATGCAATTATGCATGGCTCAGGCTCAGATCGTCGTCGTCTTCAGTTCCATGTACCAACTGTACGGCTGTGTACCAAAGCCACTTGAAGGAAAATTTGCTCTCCCAACACTTTCCGTTGTCATAATTAACATCCGCACCTCCCACTTTGCTTTGATAAGGATTTGCAACATTTTGCTTCTTTTGGTCATATAGACATGACGTTTAGGACAAACTCATTGCAAAATTTGAAACTTTCACCACCGACGATCTTTAAAATACTTCGTATTAAAATAACGAGAATGCTTACCGAGATTCCATCCCCACTATTTTGGACAGGATCCCCTCCCCATGTACATACGTTTCTATCCCTTTGCTCTTATCGGCAACCCCCCCTTCCCCCAATCTTGTCCATCAAGCAACTATTTCCTCCCACTTTTTTAGATATTGATGTGTCGAAGAAATAGGCAGCATGTCGGCAGCGGCGACAAAGCCGGACCTCACTCGACTTCGGCATCGGTAGAGCTAGACCTCACGTGTCTTTGGCTTTGGCAACGGCAATGCATAGCTGGACCTCATGTAGTCTGTCCATTTTTTGTATAGCAAGCGTCCATGTGGGGCGCCCGAAGCCGCTGCTCGCCTTGCTCCACATCGCCCGGTGGCCAGCGAGCTTTGGAGTGCTCGTGATAGCAAAAACCATCCGGATTTCAGCATTGCTTCTCCATGATGGACGAGATTTGGAGGTCTTTCTCTTGGCCGGAGGTATAAATTTTGTCCTCCCCTTCTCTCTATTCATCTTTTGCCACTGGTGACAGGATGCACAAGCTTTGGTTTTCTTCCTTCTCACCAACAACATGCATATACATATGATTTTCCTCATCGCCGATGGTACTGGGCATAGATCAGTTGATACCTCGTAGGTATCACCTAATACCTCGCAAGTATCGTCTGATACCTCATAAGCATCACCTGATACTCACCAATATTAGAACCTGATACTCAATACCACTGGCTTGTACGTCAGAGGTATCGCCTGATACAATCTAATCCACATTGTACTATCTACAATACTATGCATGCGGAAGACATCCACCATCTCTTCTTTTCTTGTCAATTTGCAAGATAATGCTGGAACTTCATGGGAATCCAATGGTCAATAAATATGGAATTTATGAACATGATAGTGACAATGGAAATTTCCTTTGCGCAAAGCTTCTTCCTGGAAGTTATAGCGACAACCCTTCGGTAATTTTGAAAAGAAGGAATAATCTGATTTTCAACAATATAACATCATCTTTTGGGCACTGGAAACATCTCTTTTTAAAGGATTTTACCCTACTTTTGCATACGGTAAAGGAACATGAACGACCAACCCGGCAATTATGGATTGACAACTTGTAACATTATCTCTCTTTTCCTGTGAAGTCTCTTGTAATTAAACTCTTTGGTTAATATATCTGCAGTAGGAGCCTCTCTTGCTATTTTCTTGTCAAAAAGTATCGTCTTATACCTCGCAAGTATCATGCAGTAGGAGCCTCTCTTGCTATTTTCCTGTCAAAAAGTATCGTCTTATACCTCGCAAGTATCACAGTATCACCTGATACTCACCCGTATCAAAACTTGATACTCACTAGTATCAACCGGTATTAGAATTTGATACCTCACAAGTATCAATCCTTTTGGACAGAAAACCTTAATATAGCAGCCCCCTAAAATAAAAACGTTACATATACATTTCTCTTGAACAATTCTTGTTATGCTTTCTGGAATTTATGAATTTTATTCTGCGAAAAAACTTTGTGGTCAATATCTCATCTCAAAGACCAGGCAAAAAAAAAAAACTTTCTTCTCTGCTTCTCCAAATACGGCCCATGGTACAACCGTACAAACAGTTGAGACTAATGCATAGAAACTCTAAATGAAACTTTCTTAGGAGTTACGATGGCAAAAAAAGCAATAGCTAGACGTTCATACTGTACAAAAATTACAATATGCGATTACCAGAATCTATCTCTGACAGTCCACAGATAAAATATATAATCTACAACAAGAAAAAGGATGCCGCTAGAATTCACATATTCTGCAATGAGATAGTTACATGAACGCCTAGAAGGTTGCAAGGGATATGTGCCATAGCTAGAAGTCAGATCTCTTAAAATTGCAACACGATCTTGCAAGAAACAGACACAATCAGAACTCAGTGTATCAGCTCACTTCTCATTTCCTTCTTGTGCTGGTTAGGGAATACCCTGATGCTCTCATCCGGGCGTGCTGCCCCTCCAGCCTTGCCTGCAGTAGTTTTGCTTTCAGGGTTGTGCTCTTCCCCTCTAACGGATGCGTCGGTGAAGCCTCGGTTATCTCATGATCCAACGATGAACGCTGATTGAGCTGACGAGCTGGGCTGCAAAGATCGTATACATTTCCTGAGGTGGTACATTGATCACGGAATTGACCTGCCCTGGAGTGATGATCATTGGATTTTTGCCCGAGATACGCATGCTGAGGAGCCTCTGATTTGATCTTCAACAGGTCATCATGCAATCTTTGAGAGACTTGAGTCATGACAGTTTCATCCTGCGCACATCTTGGAGCATTTTTGGCATCGTTGCATGGGCTAATTTCTGGTGTTGAAGCATTAAGTTGTTCTCTGATGCCATTAGGCCTTGCCTTGTCTTTCATTGAACAAGGTGACATGGTTGAGATTCTTGAACCTTCAACGGGTATGCCATTGGAAAATTCAAGCCTTCTCATTGGTGAGTACATGCAGCTTGTGACCCTCTGCCGAGTTCCTATAAGGTCATTATTCTGAATGGTGTGACCATGCATGCTCAGTTCAAAGCAATGCAAGTCGCTTGCAACAGAATTGTCATTGTCATCTTCAGCTAACCGAGGAGCACTAGTGGCTCCATGCAAATGAACGGACTCAAGGGATTGCCGGCACAAGCTTGCATCTTGCTTTTCATTGCTGATGTATAATTTATCATCCTTGGGTTTACTTGACCTCCTGGTATTAAGAAAACTATGGATTTCACTGCTAAGCCTCTCGGTGATTGAGATTCTTTCTGCCAAAGTTGCCTTGGGATCAGCATTTTGCATCTGCATACGCTCATCAAGCCATGCTTCTGAAATATGGACTACTGACTTATCAAACTTGTGTTCATACTGCTTTATATGCTTTTGCTTTAACAACCTTACTTCTTCTTCATAGTTTCTTATTCCAAATGCAAATTCATCACAGAGATTTTCTAATAGGTGAGTTGCTTTCTTCTCTTTCTCCAGATCCTTTACAGCCTTAACAAATGCTGATTTCATCTCAGACAGTTCCTTTTTTAGCTTCCTGTGGAGACTCTCAGAATGTTTTCTCAGATGTCTCTCGTCTTCAATTTCCTCTTGCAGTGATCTAAGGGCTGCTTTGACCTTCTCTTGATCCTTGCTTTTCTGGGTCATTTTATCTTCAGATACTTGTCTTACCAGCGAATCGATTTCATAGTGATACCTCCGCCTCTCTTGCAAAAGCTCTTGAACTCGTGCATGAGCATGTTGCAATTCTGATTTCAATCCCTTCATTGCTAACACATCAGCCGCATGCTGTTCTTCCAAGCTCCAAATCCGATTTAGAACTTTTAATAGTTCCGTTGACGTTTTAAGCTGGCTACCTGCTTCCCTAAATCTAGCCCTGCGATCCAGCGATCGAGTAGGACTGACAATGTTGATGGTAGCAGCCTGTCAATGAATGGACAAATAAATGCAGTTTGAGAAATATTTTTTGTTCCAATTATTGTTTATAAGTACAGAATATTGAAAATATAGTGTCATGGAACTGCATCAAAGGGTAGCAGAAGTAAATTAGCACTTTATGATTAAAAAAATTACTCAAAATTGAATTATGACTACAGCAGTAGTGGCACGCATGTTCATACAGATAAGGTTGATACAGACCTATCCCCAAATAAAAGTATGCTAGTAACTAACACAATTTGGAAGCATATATAGATGCATGTCAGTCCCTTGTCTAAAAATGCCAAATTTGATGCAATTATAACAAAGCAGGTAAAACACATAAATTATCCAATGTTACTTGGGGAAAGGAAATGTGTGTGCATACCCCAATTGAGCTAGTGTAACTTGCAGGCGAAAGAGACTGCCTTGCATGACATCTCTCTCCATGTAATTTGTCATGTTCCATCAATGATGTTGAGAGATGCTCACCACCACCACATGAACTCTGTGGCTGAAATGTGAGAAATGAAAAAAGTTATAAAGCAAAGCATTCCTGTTTTTGTGAAACTTCAGACATGCAACTTTTCCAGTGGAAAGAGTGATTATATTCCATTAAAGAAAGTCAAGTGAAATTCAGAATGCATGGATTTGGAAAAAAACACAAAATACGAACTTTGGCACCTCCACCAGAAAGTATTATTGTTGTCATCCAAACATTATTGTAAGGCAACAAGCATCAGCAAACGTAAATTTCAAGATATTCTTAGTGGGACTAGGGACTTTGGGACCATAATGGAAAATAACAGGAGAATCTTGTCAACATTGCATTGAACAATTAAACTTGTGTTGTGTTTTATAAGTGGCGGCAAAATAAAAAATAAGCTATTCTTTGCATGCATGACAGTAATGTCATGGGCAAACAAGAAAAGCAGGCAGAAAGAACTTTTCACAATTTCATGGTGGAAGATTGTCAAGAGGCTGCATAATATAGAGCAAAAGTTTTTTCTGGCCTATACTTCGCGAAGAAGGTGGCACTTTAACTTTGGAGGACAGATGTGTAAGCAAATAGCATAGTGCAAAACATATGCATTTTGCTACTAGTCTTATATTGTGAGTTTCTTTTTTTTGAAAAAAAAAACTGTCTACGAATCTACACTTGTTTTCTTTATGTACACTTGTTATTAGAAAGCGAAGTCATTCATCTTATACAATGACAGTCTTTATATGCTTATAGACACCTCTGTTTATCTAAATATAAGCTGTGAGTTCATCCCAATGCCACGGCAAAAGAAAAAATGGAAAAAAAAGAAGCGCACACACACACACAATAAAACATGCTGTGCACACATGCATCAAGATGATACTGTTGTACTGAGAACACTCCCAGCCTTTGATCCCTTTAACCATGTAATATGTGGGTTTGTTGCCTTGTAATTTTGCATGCTTAAAACAATCAATCAAAGAACTTTCCAAAAACAAAGTGAGCATTGGTTCTAATGAAACATTCCCAGTTTCCCACAAAGTACTACTCATGAATTGCTCACTGGGATATCAAAGATTTAGTCCCATAAATTAACAACCATGAATTTCTAACAAGTGATGTGGCTAGTTTGTACTTTTCACCCAAGAAGTCTTCTATAGAGCAAAAATTCCAAAACTCCGTGGTATGAAACATAAACTTCTGCAAGTACTCAATACTAGTACAAAATCCCCAATGCGGTTAATAGCTGAGGAAACAAAAGCCAAAATGTATATCCCATTAAACATGTAAAAATCCATATACACCTGGATATCTATCACATGCCCCAACTCTTAAAAAAGAGGTACTAACAAGGGATTAATTGAAAGGACTGTGAGGGTACAAAGTTATGAGCATATATTACTGCACAACGTTTTGATGCAGCTTTAATTGCGCATTACTTGCTGTACTGATTTTGAGCTTTTGACAATCCAATAAGCACAAGTGTAGAAACAAAACAGATTTTGCACGGCACATATATGAAAGCCAACTGAAGTGAAGTTTATTGATTTGATCTGGTGCTCACAAAGAACTCAAAAGGGTATACGTAAGACTAAGATCTTCTTGCATCTAAAATTGCCCTATCTAATGGCTTGCAGCATTGCATTGATTTCTACACCCATCAGAGGCAACATTAGCAAGAACACCAAAAGATCAAATTTTGAAGCTGCAAAAAGACTTTCATCGCCTTTGCATAATTCGTGGCAAGAGTAAAACGAGACGATGCAGTGCAGAATCCAGCAAACAGAAAAGAGACAGAAAAGATGCACACATGAGCAAAAAAAGGTGACACCATTATGATGTCACCATGTTGACCGGAGGGAAGAAAAGACCGGCGAGCTCTTACCCGATCCGCCTCGTCGTCGTCGCCGGCGACGCCACCCCTCCGCCCGCGCCGCCGGATCCGTCGCCCGGCGCCGGCGACCTTGATGACGTCCCGGATCTCCCACAGCGTGGCGCCCAGCTGCCGCGCGGAGGCCGCGACGGCCGAGCTCCTCCTCCCCATCGCCCCCGCCGCCGCGGCGGCCGCGGAGGAATCCGCCACCGGCTCCTCCGGCCGCGGCGGCGAGGCCTCCAGCTTCCACGACGGGGACGGCGTGATCGGCCCTGCCTTCCTCCTCGCCCGTGCCGCCGCGAGCCCTCGCCGCAGCACCGCCTTCTCCTCCTCCTCCCCCTCCTCCCCACCCCGTTCTTGGCCCCGATTCGGGGTCCCCGCCATAGCCGGCTCCGCGGCAGCGTCGCCACCGCGGCATTTGAGGCCCCGTACAGGTACAGTAGCTGCTACTGGAGGTGGCTGTGGCTCCACCATTGATGGTGGTGGGTTGGTGTCAGCTCCCTGCTTCCCCTGCTGCTGGCTGGCTTCTTCTTCTTCCTCGGGTCCTCCTCTTCCTTGGAAACTCTCTCTCTCTCTCTCTCTCTCTCTCTCTGGCTAGTATGGAGCCATTATGCTTTGCAAATGCTCTGCTCAGCTTCCTTCCTTTCCTTCCTTGTGCTGTTCTGTCTGTCGCTCCTCTGTATTCGCTGTGTACGTCTGCTGTAGTAAATGTGTGTGCATTGAGAGGGACAGGGAAAGGAGAGGAGAGGTGTGTGTGTTGACTATTGAGAGATGGGGATAGAGATGGAGATCATAGAGGGGGTGAAGTGGACACATCACGCATGCAGCCTGGCATGGAATGAGGTTGTACTATTCTGAGGGTAGGCGAAATGAAATTTACTATACGTAAAAAAAAAGAGTAAATATTATGAAAAGATCTGATAGACGAAATGAAATTTACTATATGTAAAATAGACGTGAATATTAGGAAAAGATCTGATATCAAATAATTAGAAGGGATGAGATTTCGAATCCAAGTCATCTAACCCACCACCTTAGGGCAAGTTTTATAGTAGAGGTGACCACCACATCCAATTTCATGCATGACATACATAATTAAATTAAGATGTGATATGTATAATAGGTTACCTCTACCACACAATCTTCAATATCTCTACCACTCTCACATGTTTATTGAAGTTTGTGTAGGGGCTACCCCTTGCATGAGAGGTGACTATTTCTCTCTCATCCTTCTTCTCTCCTCCACCTCACTATTTAATCCTACGTAGCATCTTGGGGTTTGTACTTAGATGACCATAGTACTTGCCCTTATGAAGCTAGCTGGAAGACTCCTGATATCTATTATTTTTTTTGAAAAAACTAAAATGATAGAAGAATTGACATATTTGAGTACGTAAAAGTAAAATCCTAGTTAGATTGTAAGAAAAGAAAAAACACCTCCTTAGTAAGATCGATTATAAGGCTGAGTTTCGGTACTCACCTTTTCCAACTTATGTGGTAATCTTTTCTCTGAAGATAAAGATATAGGTAAAAATTAAGTGTTTTACGTAAAACGATGTGGTATTAACATATGATTAATTGAGTTTTAATTATTATAAGCTTAAAAAATAGATTAATCTGATATTTTAGAACAATTTTTATATAGAAAGTTTTCGCACGAAATACACCTTTTAGCAGTTTAAAAAGCGTGCCATAAATATCCAAAATTTTATCCAGTCTTTGTAGTGGAAACGTACACGTGGACACTCCTTTGTTTCCACGCTTTCCACACGTACGTTTCCTAAAATGTTAAATCGTGTGTTTTTATAAAAAAAGATATAGAAAAAACGTTTTAAAAAATCAAATTGATCAATTTTAAAGTTTATTTTAACTAATATTTAATTAATCATGCACTAATGAATCACTTTCTTACGTGTGGGGAGGTAGAGTTCCCAGCCTGAACCTCCTAACATGGCCTAAAGTTCTGGCTAAAGTTCTGGCTAGCTCGACAACTAAACTTAAACTTATACGGCTTGTTCGGTAACTCGAGGGAAGGGGATTGTGAGTTTTCACGAGGGAATTGATGATGAGATTAAGATGGGAATTTGATTTTTAATCCCAATATCTTGTTTGGTAGAGGTGATGGAATTGATAGAGAGTTTAGTTGGAGATTAGGTCATTAATAAAAATGGATGGCTGAGATTTGCTTAGATAAAGTAAAGGAGGAATTCCCTCCCAATTACCTGCCCCTACCAAGGTATTGAAAAGGAGAGAGTTCCTTCCTCTATTCTCCATCTCCATTCCACCAAAATTTTCATGTCTCCCAACCAAACAAAACACTTAATAGCCTCATCCCTCTAAACTCCTAATCCCTTCTAAAAACTCCCTCCAACCAAACGGGCCGATAGCGCACTAACCACTAGACAAACAAAGTATTGTTGAGCTCTCCGTAAAAGCAACAAATTAGCTTGAACTTTCAAACCATATCATTGTTGTTGAGCTCACCAATATATTATTCTATCTGTCCATAAATATATACTCCATCCATCCCTAAATATTATAAGAATTTAGTATTAGATATGACACATCATAATACATAGACTAAAAATTTATTTAGATTCATATTACTATTGTGTCCTATCAAATTTTAGATTATTATATTTTGGAATGAATGTAGTATATGGGTGTGTTTAGTTGCTGAAAAAAGTTAGAAGTTTGGGGAAAGTTGGGAGTTTGGAAAAAGTTGGAAGTTTATGTGTGTAGGAAAATTTTGTATGTGATGTGATGTGATGGAAAGTTGGAAGTTTGGGGTAGTCAGGGGTGAACTAAACACGGCCTATATATTGTTTAATATTTTGGAATGAGGGTGTGTTTAGTTCACGTTAAAATTGAAAGTTTGATTGAAATTGCAACAATGTGATAGAAAAGTTGGAAGTTTATGTGTATAGGAAAGTTTTGATGTGATAAAAAATTTGGAAGTTTAAAGAAAAAGTGAGGAACTAAACCAGGCCTGAATGTAGTATATATATTGTTTAGCAAATATTAAGATCAGGTGAAATTACTTATAGGTCGGGCAGACTGGTAACATTGATAATCGTAGTAGCTATAGCTCAATCATTTTTTTAAAACTGAATGACGAGTTGCTGAATTCTCTTCACACTAGTCATGGGCCCGTGCGTTACAACGGAGAACAAATTCAGTTTCTAGCTTATTAGTAAATTAAGCACATATTAATTAGTTAAAGTGTTTTTTCTATGATTTTTATTACTGAATAAGTAGGTGATTTCACAGTTTAAAATAAAACTAGCAGTGAAACGGGAAATGACTCGTTAAATGTTGGTGTAATGCTATACATTGTGAGGTCTACAAATGAATGGTAGGGATGGTGTGACAGAACCAACACGACTATTAGTAACTACTAGTAAGTTTTTTTTAAGACAATGGAATAACATTCCGGTCTTTACTCAACGAGCTACAACCAATTATTATAAAATCCACACATAAACAAATTCAACACACGCTGACATAATAAAAAAACAAACTAAAAGACACTAATACAAAATAAAAGAACCCTGGATTACCATGTATTCAAGAATCTTCATCCGAAGTTGGCAAAAAGGTGCATAATCATTGACTCAGTTTACGACATGTATTATTTATTAGCTTGATATTATCATCATGGCTTTGTAGATGAGCCTAACCCCAAAGCTAATATGTTGCCCTGAAAAGTACCTACAAAATAAGATTTTGATGGAGTTTTATCAAAAACCATATCATTTCTACTAAGCCAAATAGCACAACATACGGAGGAAGCCTCAATAAGAACAAGTTTCTTAACTTTTTTTTATTAATATCCACCAACCAATTCCCAAACATATGAGAAACTTTATGTAGTGGGTATAATCCACATGAGAATTGAATTGATCTCCAAAAAAAATAGAAAAATGACAATCCAGGAAAAGATGGTAAATTGTTTCATTTTTCATGCAAAAATAACATCTCAAATTACCATTCCAATTCCTATTAGCCAAATTATCTTTTGTTAACACAATTCCTTTAAGGAGATATTATATAAAAATCTTAATCTTAAGGGGCATCTTAAGTTTTCAAATGATCTTATTCCTCTCTATATACCCATTATTAATTAAGGCTAAATACATTGGTCTAACAGATAAATGACCATTTTTATGAAGGTTCCATCTAAATATATTATTCTTCTATGTTAAATTAATATGCACAATTGAAACATAGAAATTATGTTTGTCAGTGATATGGGCCCGGGTATCAAGTTTAGAGGGAGGAGGCTGCCCTCCAATGCCACGTGGCCCTCCCCCGAGGAGAGTCAGGCCCGAGGTGGGGTGGTGGCCACTCCCTCCCAGAGATTGGACGGAGGAGGCTGCCCCCCAATGCCACGTGGCCCTCCCCCGAGAGGTTGTTGGGCCCGAGGTAGGGTAGCGGCCACTCCCTGGCCGAGACTAGAGAGAGAAGGCTACCCCAAGCCCCACGTGGCCCTCCCTCGAGGGGGATCGGGCCCGAGGTCGGGCAGCGACTGCCCCCTCCCGTGACTAGGGGTTGAGCTCCCCCGACCCCCTCTTTAGGTCACCACGTACGGTGGGTTAGGTGTCTGCCTACAGGTGCCCACCTACCCGCATTTATGGCGACCCGAGCGGTTGCGCCATGCCGCATTTAATGCAGCATGCAGTGGACTTAACCGGTCTGTGACCGGTCGAATGACCGATGGGACTGGGTAGTGCGCCTGTGCGCTGTTCGTGTGTCAGGCGGCGTGCAGCCTGACATGTCCCATCAAATAATCATGGTGAGAGGTTCTCATCCTCTTATCCCAGCCGAAGTCGGTCCTCCCGCTCTGGTCAAAGCTAGGCTCCCGTTTCCCGGTGTAATAGGAGCCCAGAAGTCTTCACTTATTAAATGGTGAATGACATGGGCGCCCCCCGTATCAGGCAGCATGATGTGGTAGGCAACACGACCGAGGCGACGTGTATGTGGCTTCCAAGTTAAGGAACAAGACATGCATTTAAAGCAAAGATTGTAATACTTCTAGAGGAAGTTAGGTTGTTGGGCCTATGTGGTATCCCCTTGAACTATAAAAGGAGGACCTGTCACACCCTAAAAATCCCAAATATATAAATTGTTGTCTAAATTGGAATTATTAGAATTTATTTTAAAAGCCTAAAAGAGAAGATCTAGTTTTAATTAATAAATTCCAATATAAAATGGGGCCAGATAAAATTTCATTAAATACTTTGCTTAATTCTATAATTCCTAGATTTTTCTGGGATTTATTTGAGTTAAGGAAGTATTTTTAATAAATGGAATTGCATTTAATGAATAATTTAAATTGAAAAAGGTTTTTAAAATCCTCTTTTGGCTTCGGCCCAAAACCTTCCCTCTCTCTCCTCTTCAGCCCAGTCAGCCCGCAGCCGCCCGCGCGCGCGCTCGGCCGCTGACAGGTGGGTCCCACCTGTCGGACTCGTCGTCCTCCTCGCGCCGTCGCCCGGCCGGAACCCTAGCCGAGCCGCGCCGCCGTCTCCTTCCAAATTCGCTCGTGCCTTTCCTTCTCCGGTGAAATCAATAGAGGGGAAATAATCTTCGGGATCTCCTCTACCTTTTCTCTTTTGGAATCGTCGGCTAAAATCGTTTGGAAATCCGTGGATTCGAGTTCGATTCGGATCGATCTCTCTCCTCCGAACCCTAGACTTTCCTTCGTGTCGCCGGTCGCCGTCGGCCTTCGCCGCCGCCTCCTTGCCCCTATAAAAGGACCCCCAAGCCCGCCGCTACCTG